AAGTAGCCCCAAACCCAAAAGATCCAGTTTTTAACCTGCAGAGGTCAGGTTTTCAGGGCACACGGAGGACTTCACGTAACATCCCAAAAATCTGGCTATGTCCAAGGCAGGCGGGTTTTCTGAACCCACTTTTCCAGTGTTTTTCCCCCAAGCAGCACCAAAACGCTCTTTACAACCTCCATCACCCTCTGCTTCTCTTCTTAGCAAGGCGGAGCCTCATTTTAAAAGCAAGAGAGTCCAAAAAGTGACCGCAAGAAGCCCAAAAAGTAAGCAAGCAGGGAAGAAACTCCTTGATGCAGCTGCATGGAGCAAACATATTTTTAACTCATTTTCCCCAAGACGTGATTTAAGCGGGGGGTAACAAACCAACCAACCAACTCCCCCCGTCCTGGTTCAGAAAAGACAACTCTGAAATTGCATCTCCCCGCTGCGGCTGCGCTCCAGTCGTAACCAGAGTCGCAGCTGCACCAGCGCTCTCCCAGCGAAGCCAACTTTAATCCTTCGATATCCCTTGACCAACCTGCGGAGCTGCAGCGGCACCTTGAAAATCGGCTCTGCCAGGGGCACGTCCCCGGGGACCAGAGCCCAGCAGAGCCTCAGGGGAGATGCTGATGGAGAGCAAGAGCTGATGGTCTCACTTGGGGTTATACAGGTGCAGAAGGGGGGCTTGAAGGCGAAGGGGAGGCGTCCCCCTTTCCTGCCCCTATCTGCAGCCCATCGCCGCCCCCTTTGCCTCCTGTCCTAAAATGCTCTGAGCTGCTGCTGTGCATTATTAAAATGCTGCCATGTCTCATCCCAGAGATGGCCGCCCTCTCACTGGATACAAGCTTCAACCGCTGCTTGTAAAGCACTTTGAGATTTAAAAAAAGAAAAAAAAAAAAAAAAAAAAAGAAAAAAAAATTAAAAAGAGCAGTGTGTATGTAAGATGCATTCGGTCATAAAATACTTACAGCTTTAATTCGGCAAATGGAAAGAGATGGCTTGGAAACGGCAGAGGCGGCCACGGAGCGCGCAAACCACTCGGACGTGCCTGTCAGGCACCGGCCCAGGGGCCAGCAGGGACTGCTCGCCCTGGGCCACAACAGCAGGCTCATGCTCGCTTTGCTCAAATCCTTTCCCAAAGATTTATTGAAAATTGAAACCGCGGCACACAGGATTACATTCGTCCGGGGAAAGCGGGGTTTCACGGCAAACACTGTGCCCAAGTCACATTTTTTGCATACGATGCATTGAAAACAGGCTCGGGGACCTCCTGAACAAACCCATCCCCCCTCCCCAAACCGCTTTGGTTTTGCAATTAAAATACAAGGCAACCCCACTGGGACAGATGAACAAAAACCAAGAGGAACTACTGGCCATCAAGTAAAAAAAAAAATCAAAAATCAGTGAAATGTCACCAAGAGCATTTTGGTCCTGCTCCCCAACCTGCACTGCCACTGGAGAAGGGTTCATTCTGCATTTTTTTTTTTAATTTTAAAAACAAGTTGAAAAAATTAAGTGGTTATAAGAAAAACAAGCCCCCGCCATGTGTTTCCTGTTCCCTTGAAGCCTGATCCGTGGCACCATGGAAAGGGGGTTTCTACGACAGGTTTCTTATAAAAATAACAAAAAAAAAAAAAAAGGAAGGGGGCAGAAATTTGTCTTAAAGCTGCTCTTGTGCCCCCCCTGCAGCCAGCGAAGAGGCTGTTTGTTACGGCCCCGCTTGCTGCAGCGAGATGCTGTAAAACCCGTTAACTTGCTCCATCCAGGCGAGCCTCCGGGCAGGTCTCTCCGCTGCAGCTTCGCTCCCCTAGACAAAGGAGCAAGGGCTTCTGAGAATGCACGATGGGGCTTTTGAGGAGGCTACGTGGCACGGGAGCGCCGCTCTTGTCTGTTGAATATAGAACGCACTTTAAAAAAATAGAAGGGGGTCGCTTCCATCCGCAAGGGAAGAGGGTTGCTTTGTGTCGTCAGTCTCTGGTTTTATTTTACAGTCTGTAAAAATACTCTGGCTGTCCACATCCATTCACGATATAAAGCAGTAAAAAAAAAAAATAAAATATATATATATAATAAGTTTTATTTATACAGTTACACTTGCAAGGCAATTGATCCTCCTCTGGCCAGGCCCTTCTACCTCCAGATGCTCTGCCTGGTTGATACAACTGCAAGAGAAGACAAAATCAACCTGAGTGACCCCATCTCGGTGGGCGATTGATCACAAAAAGAAAAGGGGAACAGAAAACAGGACGTACGTGAGCACAAAGCCTGGACTGGCAAATAGACATGCAGACGCCGCAGCATCTGGCGAGATGGGGATGGACATTTCAGGCTGCGAGGAGGTTGGCAATGGGGTTTTGCTGAGGGGATGGTGGTGTGGGTGGGAATGGGATGCCGGGATGCAGGCGGCATCGCCACAGCAGGTAGGGACATCACAGCTCCCTTTTGCTGCACCTGAAAACGTGGTGCAAGGTGGAAAAAGGGCCACAGGAGATGGAAAGGGTTTTGGGGTGAACTGGTCCCCAAGATGGAGCAAAAGTGACTTCTGTAAAAGATGGGAGCCAAATTCTCCCCATCTTAACCCTAGTAAGGTCTTAGCCCCAGGGGATGTGGGGCAGCAGGAGCATCCTCCGCAGCTCCCAGCAGGGCAGCGAGCCGGTCCAACAGTGTGCGAGCCCCTGGCAGCCAAGCAGAGGCCGCAGGGGTGTAAGCTTTGCTTTTCCTAATGGCATCTATAAATAGCTCTGGCCTCCTGCTCCCAGCACACGCTTGCTCTCTGCAGCCTGTTTTGGGCAGCAAAAGCCTCTCCCCTGCCTCCCACGTATCCTCCCTACCCAGGCTCGCGCTCCTGCCGGGACATACGCACCCTCAGGGTTCAGGCTGGACACCAGGGGCTCCGGCAGGGTCCTGGGATGGCCGAGGAGCTGCTTGGTGCTGGCCTGGGGAGGCGAGTCTGTGCCGGCGGTGGGAGGAAAACCTATGGGATGGGGAAAGATGTCTGGCTCAGGCAGGGCTCGCACCTCCCGCACGCTCTGGGCATGGCCCACAGGGCAGCCACGTCACCCTCTCTGGGTGCTCTGCAGGAGAAATGACTTGGTCCCTGTTTTCCCCCCATCCCTTTCCATGAGAGCCCCCTGTCGCCTCCTCTTGTCCCTGTGCGGATGCAGATGTGGCCCCAGGCACCACGCTCACCCTTCCCTCGCCAAACACAACGAGGTCGTCATGGGCTGGAGCCCATCCCCAGCAGCCCCCAGGGGCTGACGCCGGCCCTCAGCCTCCTGCTTTCTGCTGCCGCCGCCGCGGCATTGAGCGACGCTGGGGAGGAAAGCTCCCTGCGGCCACCCCGGCCCCAAAAGCGGCAACACAGGATCTGACCCCTGAACACGGCTACGAGCAGCCCTGGGGCTTAAGTGGGAAGGATGAAGGAGCCATGGGGCTTGGCCAACCTCAGAGACCCCCAGGGCGGTGAGCGACCGCTGTGCCAGCGCCGAAACCCCATCCCTGCTGCCTAACCTAAGCGCCCGGGGCAGAACTGGCCAGCTTTGGGGCCGACCCCCTTGGAGGGGGAGGCGGGGAGCAGGCGGGGGGGGTCCCG